TGCATGAACGCCTGAATTCTCGACCACTGAGTCGGCTTTATGGCGTACATGTTTAAATTCAATCGATTCAATTGCTTAATTACTTACGTCTATTATTCCCAATAGAGTATAGGCACCGAACAGCACTCTACAACCCACTCTGTCCTCAACCTTCCTTTCTAGTTCTATCCAATTCTTGTTCATTCTCCTCATGTCTGTCTCCATTTCTCCGCGTCAATTGTTCTTTGGTCTTCCTCTTTCCTTTGGCATTGAGGACTCCATGTGAGGGCTTGCCTTGTGAATTTGGTTCTTCTCCCACTTTGGGTTGTTGATGATAGTGTCTGACCAACGGTGTTAGTGACATTTGTTTTGTGTTTCAGGTGTTCTTCAGTTGTAAATAAATGCTCTTGCATCGGATTCTTCATGTTCACCAATGATGCTGCTCATATAGTTAAGGTTTTAACATCTTCCGAATCTTTTCCATCAAGTGTGATACGATTGTTGCATGCTGTGTTGTATCGCAGAATCTTCATTTTCCCTTTGTTTATGTTGAGACCAATTGCTGCTGAGGCTGCTGTTACACTGATCATCTTCTCCTTCATTTGTTATTGAGTGTGCGATAGAAGAGACTGATCATCTGCTACGTTTCACTATATTTCTCAAATTTTCGTTTATTATCTGCTGTAGATAACTGTCTCTCATTCGACAAGGTACATATTTGAAAATCAGCTATTCACATCATGTTCAGCTTATAAACGTCATTCTGTGATCGATAAGCAGTTTTCATTAACACTGTCAAAGCATCATTAACCTATGAATGTGTATTACTCTTTAGTGATCAATCAAATATTTCATAGAAACATACTCAGTAACTAATCCATCATTGTTAACATTTATAACTAAGAATATGATAGAGATATTTGTCGACAGTAGGTAGCAATCTAATTGACTTTACATTTATAACCCACCATTAGAATGAAACAAAAATGATCGTTGATCACTAGACAGATCTAATAGCCTGGGTGAAAGGAAGGAATACTGACATCCAGATACGTTTAGGGAAATGAATTCGACACTGACCGTAAACAATTGTCGTATAGTGTATACTGACTGTTTAGGATAAGAAGATATAGTCGCCATTTAACATAATTATACATTAGGTTATTTATTTTAGAGTTGACAATGTTGGTCAATTCTATTATAAATGCAGATTGAAGTAACTTACATAGTCTACTGAATGTACTCAGACGTCTTTGATGTTTCTCATCAGCCAATGTCGATAGAAATTTCCGTGTGATTCGTTTAGCAGCCAGAATACCTAATAGTGACAATGGTGGTCGATTAGTGTTTGTCAAAGATGTCAGAGAGGATGCTGCTGCTGATGATGATGATTGAATGTTTTGACTGATCTTCCTACTAGTGATAACACTTGTTGGATGATCAACTTCTCGAAAAGTCAATATTTTATTTGTTTCTACTGCTGATGTTGGGCCATTGATAGAAGTGTTGAAACAGGATAATGGTGAACGATTTGGACAACTGGCTGGAGTTTGTGGTTGAGATTGTGCAGTGACTGTGTGAATAAGAAGAAAGTAAATTCATTCGACATTTGACAATATTGAACAGTTTCAATGTGCTACTACTACTACTACTACTGATTTCGATATGAGTAGTGTGAATGAATCGTCTAAATGTGAACAGAATTGGTTCAGTTTGATTTGGTGAGGAATATATTTCGTTTAATGAAACGAATCGTTTGATCGAATGGATGTCCGATCACAACGACATTCATTCCTTTCATTTGATTCTATTCGTTTGCAATTTGACTTGTATGAATTACTGTCATGCGAATATACGATTCATATCAGTCCCACAGATCGTTGGTAAATTTACACCAGCATGAGACTTACTTCCATTACGACATGTAATTCTGTCATTTATCAATATTCGATCGACCTAAAATCTCAGTTCGATGTGGTGAAGTGTTTAGAAGTGAATTACAGACAAACATTCAAGATTCTTCTTCTGTAGGTGAGCAACACTTGGAAGCTTCATATGGTCATTCAAATACATCCAATCTCGGTTGTTCTCTCTCTCACACACACACAATTCACACTAGATTCAACACAGTTTAATTCAGGACCATCAATGAATGAATGAATCTGCGCACAATTACATCATCATTGAATTTCATGTTCCACAGAGTATTACGATTACTGTAACCAATTTTGTTGAAACTACTCTTGAATCAAATGATTCATTATGTTGTAACTGGTTGTTGTATGAAGTCACTTCCATCAAGTTGATTAATACAGAGCTCCATCTGTAATTCTGATCAATAATACATGGTAGATTGTAAGAAGATCAATCAAAGCCGACAAGATGAAAGGGATGTATGTTGTTCTGTTCAGATAGATCCAAACTACTTGATTATCACTTAATATGACGTGTGTATTGTATCATGCACAGTTTTTGACAAATCACTTTATTCTCTCTCTCTCTCATATCGACATGTAGTTGTAATGATGCATCACTTTACACACAGTGACATGTACACATTTTTGAACGTATAATTTACCAGTGATGTTTCTTCATGAGAATGATGGAAGTGAATATTGTGACAGGGGAATATCAACGTGGCGAAAATGATATCACATCTTCTCATTTGTGATGACATGGGAAGTAGTCGGATAACTTATCGGAATACTATGACATTAGTAATTATTCATGATTCGTCATTATAAACTCCTCTGTTTACTGATTATCATTGTATGTGTTATGTTTACGGTAAACGGTGTTCGATATGAAGTAAACTTTGTTAGTATCAGTATGGGTTTTTGGTGATGATTAAATTTTTGATTGAGATCATGAATCGATTGATGTTAGACCACTCGAATCTCGCGAGCGGGATCGTAGGCACGCACTACTGAGGAATTCCACAATGGGGCGAAACGTCCTTCCAGCGCCTCCAGGTTTTCAGTGGTGGTCTAACATCAATCGGTTCATGATCTCAATCAAAAACGGAGTTATGTTTGTCATGACATTATTGAACTAATTATAATATTTTCAGATCACAAAGACTCTGTGTTGTGATTCTGTTCAATTGACATGTATTTCATTTTGTTGGTGGGTACAATTCACGGTGTGAATATCAACAATGTGATGCTGTTACACGCATTTGAATGAAAGATCATCTACATACATAAAAGTACCTATCATCTAGATTTCCAAGTTAAATATGAAAATGAACTTTCTGTTGATTCCAGGTGATATGATTTCTAGTGTTATAATGATTAATGTTACCTTACAATTAGGAATAACTAAATGTACTCTGAATGGTATGAATTATTTTTTCTGGTAAGTGTTTTTTTAGCGATTTAGTTTTCTACGAGATAGGGTTGCTAACCCCATGCCCAACACTCCTCCTTTATCCTGGTGTGGGACCGACAGTCGCCTCATAGGGGCTCCAGACGCAAAATACTTCGGATCCGTTGGTTAGACACTATCATCAACAACCTACTGTAGGAGAGAACAAACCAGTTTCCAGTGGTGGAAGAAATCAGCACAACGCGCTACAAGTGGATAGATAGGACACACATTGAGAAAAAAGCAACTAACTGCATCACAAGGCAAGCCCTCACATGAAATTTTCAATTCCAAAGGAAAAGGGGAAGACCAAAGAACACATGACGTGGAGAAATGGAGACAGACATGAGAAGAATGAACAAGAATTGGATAGAACTAGAAAGGAAGATTGAGGACAGAGTGGGTTGGAGACTGTTGTTCAGCGACCTATTACGCATTGCGAATAACAGACGTAAGTAATTAAGTAAAAGTAAGTAAATGTACTTTGAATGATGGAGACTAGAGTTAGTATCGACGATGTGAGTTTTGTCTTAATTGAGACTTTTCAAAGTTGATGTTGGGCACTAATGGGGGACTGATCATTTATAGTCCTAAACAATTAGTTTACATGAATTAAAATTTACCTCATTACATATGTCTACAGTATATATATGTGCTCAAATCTGATTAATTGCACTTGCTTTGCTTTACTTCGCTCTGATTCGACTCGATTTGATTCTTAATCCGCTTCTGTATTTGCTTGCTTGCTCTCATTAACCTCACTGCTCAAGTTCGCTCGATGTGCTTGTAACTATTTTATTTGTACTACCCAATGATGAAGTATAGTTGCCGCTTCATATTACTTTTTGAATTCATACACCATTGGAATTTATATAATAACGGTTATCAGGGTGATTAACAAACGAACCCTAAGGAATTATCTCAAAATCGAGCCACTACAAACCAGTGACTATCTAAACTCTGTAGCCAAGTGGATAGGATGATGAAATTTGAAGTGAACGATATTGAACTCAAATCGTCGAATAAACGTCAACTTTGAAACTCCGGGATATCTATGTGACGAGTTAGAAATGTGTATTTTGGATAACACCGTTAACCATAATTTCACTTATCTTAATTCTAATTCATTGATTGTCAGGTTAATGTATTCTTGCGTGAGATCAACAGATCCTGGATTCGAATCTTGTATGGTGGGACTGTAAATGTACACTACTGAGGAGTTCCACAATAAGACGAAACAATCATCCAGTACTTTCAGGTTTTTCATGATAGTGTAGCATCAATTGAATACATGATTTCAACTATTGAAATAAAGAAATCTCGATAAGTAATTTCAATTACTCATGTGATTGAATTAAAGACTTTAATTTAATAGAATGATATTTTTCTTAAAAATTTGTGAGATCTATGCAACAAACAAACAAAAAATGTTATACTTATATTTTTCTTTTACAAATTGTTACCTTAGCAACAATCCCTAATGATATCATGTTGTTATGTTTACAGTTTAGTATAGATTACCCATGTTACATTGATTTGTAACTATGTATGTGTAGAATACACGATGTTTACATCATATAATCTATCATATTATTATTGTTTATAGTTAATAAGAAATATTTAACATTGACTTCATCTTTATGTAAATGTTTAAATGATTGTATATAAGTCATTGAATAATATTTATATATGGATTATGAGAAAGTAATGGAATCCAGGATATGAGTTTCGTCTTATTTAGGACTCGTCAGCCGGATGTAACTGTATCTCAGAGTTGATATTCATTTCAGGACTCGAACTTAGTAGGGTTCGCTTCAAACTATATTGTGTAATCCACTTATTTATTAAGATCTGATAGTCACTTGGTTGTACAATAGGGTGAATATGTAGGTGGAATTTCAATAAAACACATATTTATATCATGAATGATAGTTTGTATTTAGGAAGTATGAATTATGATTCTGAAACATGGAAAATATTCACTTGAAATTGTAGATGAAGCTGTCAGTCATATAATTTACGTTTCATGTAAACCAGGAACATTTAAGTGGATGAAAGTAAAATTCTGGTATAACAATTGGTTGACTAGGATAAAAAACGCGACTATTAAGTCTATATGGGAGGCAAAACCTGATTCATACGTCCTCTTCGTGCTTCCTGGATAGTGGGATTCAGTCTCATGAACTAAGGTGAGCGGCAACACCAGTGGTAGAGATCGACCGATACTCCCAAACTGATGACGAAACCTAAAAAGAATCACAGCACAAATGACAAAAAAATTCACAAAAGTGATGTATGGAATGTACGGGGTTGCTCCCTACTTGTCAAACTCCAAAAACAGCCATTATAGCCACGGTAGTTGTGCCGTGCTTTTATATGGCCTGTTTCTCTCCAGAAAGGCCTTCTAGGCTTCACCAACTTGTTTGGCTGGAAGAGGAGGATTAGGTTTATGCGCGAAATTAAAATATCGAGGATACGAAGCAGTAGAAATACTTTTGTTATGTTCTTATCTTCGATTTATTAAATCATGTGATACCGTGGTATGTGCTACTGATGTCGACAGACATAAGTAGTATGTGTCATCAATCAAAAATGAAATGTCTGGTAGCAGAATGTTGAGAAGACTGAAGAGAAGAGAGCGAGAACGGAGAGTGATTGATGTGGAAACAAAGAAACAATCAAGTGTTAGACAATTGATCAGATTTTACTAAGTGATTCTGTAATATTGTGCCCAAACGCGTTTGGTTGTTCTCGCTTGTGTTCTCGTTCACTGCAATACAATCGCTAGTTGGAGGCATTGATTTATACAACCAGAATAATATCGCATAAACCTACACGAACAGCCTAGAGTTCTTATTGGTCCATCGAGATAACAGCTTCTCATCTAAACCAGCTGGATCAGTCCAGAACGTCAATATTAGCCTCACAAATGTAAATCATATACTTTAAACATATTGGGTTGATATACAAATCAAACAGACCACATCTCTCCACAAAATAGGCAACAACATTTGTACATGATCTAGCCGAAAGTAGCTGTAAATGTAGGAGACTGTAATTAACTCTTTATATGTAACTCGTAATCCGAACTTGGACAATTAAGAGTTTGAAAAGATGGATGATCTAAAACTATAAGGGAGAGTGTTGGAGAGATGCAGAAAATTCCCCCCCCCCCAAAATAAAACAAAGCCAACATAAGCTCTGAAAACACTATGAAACATCATATCCAATCAGCATTCAATAGAAGTTTTACCTGAAACATCTAGAAAGTAGAAAGTTCCCTATAATGTTTCTGATTGAATGATTACCTATACTACTACTACTACTACCACTACGTTTGGTAACATTCCAGAAATTTCCAGAAACTCAAGGTCAGCTAAAATACTATACAAACCCTAGATTTTCTGTACATAGACGAACGTTTGCAGTAAAGTGTTTCCTTTCATATTTCATGCCTTTTCTCTTGTGTTCAAGTCGCTGTGTAGATCTACCCTGGAGGTTACTAGGTACCGAATCTAGCATTCAATTAGAAGACTTATGAAAGAAATTAAATGTGTTGTTGTTTCTTCCCCCTGTGGAAGACTTCTAGAACCATCAAATATTTAAAATCTGTCTAAAATTCATAGTATTATTGCTTTCTTTCCTATAGTTTATCCAATTACAAAGGGTTTATTTCAGTTGCTTAACAAGAGCTAGATAATTAACCGCAGTCGTTTAAAGCTGATCCCTACGCATTAACATTGTTGAATGTCGGCCAGCTCAATGGTCTAGAGATTAAGCATTTGCGCACGAGACCAATAAATCCTAGGTTCGGATACGACGGGCAGGATCGTAGATGCGCACTGCTGAGATTCCTGAACAATGAACATCCACAATCCGGCATACGCGACTCATGGGAGATCGAATATTCCAAGTTCGAGTCCCTTCATAAAATATTGATACTTGACAAAGATATGA